GGTGGCTGGAGCTGCCATGGCTGGTGGGACAGGGACAGAGGGGGCAGCTGGGACAGTGACTGGGCTCGTAGGAGCTGGTTTGGCTGCAGGAGAGGTGGCTGGAGCTGCCATGGCTGGTGGGACAGGCAGGGAGCTGGCAGTGGGGACAGCAGGCACAGGAGCTGCTGGTGGCAACAGGGGACTCGTTGGAGCTGGTGGCCCTGGGGGAGACACAGCAGCTCCCAGAGCAGGTGTGGCCAGGGCAGGAGCCACAGGAGCTGCCACAGGTGCTGCCTGAGGGTCTGGGCTCCCAGGAGGGGTCCTGGCCACCAAGGGAGGGACCAGGTGTCCCACAGCTGGGGCCACTGGGGCAGGGCCCACGGGACAGGCCTTGGCAGCAGATGGACCAACTGGGACCAGTGGAGAGACTGGAGCACCAGGGGCTGGGACAGCAGGACAGCCAGGGGACATCCCAGCCGGCAGCAGAGGGATGGGGGGTGACAAGGGGGCCTTGGGGGCAGCCAGGAAGACGGGTGGAGAGATGGCACCAACCAGGGCCGGGCACTGAGTCAGAGCTGGGACCTGAGGAGAGGCTGGAAGAGAAGCCAGAGGGGTGGAGGCAGGACTGCCAGGAGACACCGGGACTGCCGGGGACACGGCAGGGCTGAGAGGGGCTGCAGGAACGGGGGGCGAGCCCGGGCTCTGGGGACTCACTGCCACGGTGGGAGCAGGCAGGAAAGTGGGGGACACCTTTGGTGGGGGAGATGCCACAAGGGGTTGGGAAGGGGGAGGCAGGAGGGGGACCGGGGCTGCTCCAGGAGTAGGGAGAGGGGCTGGGGCTGCAGCTCCTGCTGGGCTCAGAGGGACAGCAGCAGGAGCAGCTTTCACAGGAGAGCTGAGAGCAGCAGGAGCAGCAGCCAGAGCAGGGGACACTGGAGCCTGGAGTCCTGGAGATCCTGGGCTAACTGGGGCAGGCCCTGGAGATCCCGGGGCTGCAAAACCCACGGGGGACGGCGGAGCCAGAGGAGGGGAAGTGGTGACTGGGCCCGGCAAAGCTGGGGCAGGGGGCTGGGGAGGCACAGAGAACACGGGGATGGCCACGGCCGGGACCACGGCGGGGGAGGTGGGGGCTGGGGGGCCCGGCAGAGCCGTGGCAGCAGCGCTGGGGGGCTGCACTGGGAGAGCCTGGGCAGATGGAGATGGAGCCAGAGGTGGGGAATGAGCAGCATGAAGAACAGCTAAAGGAGAGAAACAGAGTGAGCCATGAGAGGAGGGAGGGAGGGAGGGGACAGGGAGCCTGCCCTGGCCTTCCTCCCGGCCTTGGCACCCAGCCTCTAGAGCAGCAGACACTGCCCAGCCTGCCGGGGTCCACACGGGGTCATCCCTTCCAGAAACCAGCACTGATTTTCCCGGGAGCCCTGGAATGGCAGGAGGCACCAGCTGAACCACCAGGAAGCCCCATTGGGCTGGACCTGACTCTACTGCCAGCTCTTCTCTACCAAAGGAGTTGCCACAACCTCCATGGAGGTCTGGTAGGACCCCCAGGGCTGCTCCCGAGCCTGGGATCACACCCCAGGCTGGTGGGAGCAGGGAGGGACAAGGACCCCCTCGAGGAGAGGAAGGAAGTCAAATGTAACCCACTGGCATGCGGAATTGTTCCTGGAGCGCTCTGGGAGCCCCCTCCCTCCAGCCCTGGGTGACACAGGCGGGTGCCCTGAGGGGACAGGGACACCAAGGCAGGGGATGGTGGGGCAGGGACCCCCAGAGCCCCCTGGGAGCTGTTAGGGTTAATGGAACTGCAACCCCCGGAACGGCACACGGTTAATGCGGTTACAGGACGTCCCGAGTACCTGGAGCAGGGATGGGAGCAGGAACGGGGGCAGCTGGAGCTGGACGGGGAGAACAACAGTTTATTAAGGCTCATCCCACTGACTGAGAGCACTCAGCATCCAGCTCCCTGAACCGGTGCTGAGGGAGCCTGGAGAGAGCCCTGCCATTCCCAACACAATTCCCAACTCCGAGCAAAGGGCACTGCTCAGGGAAGGGCCTGGAGAGAGCCCTGCCAATCCCAACACAATTCCCAACTCCAAGCGAAGGGTAAGAGCCTGGAGAGAGCCCTGCCATTCCCAACGCCAATCACAGGGTGCTGCTCAGGGAAGAGCCTGGAGAGCGCTCGGGTTCCAGCTCCCCCAGCCCGTGCTGAGAGCCCTGCCATTCCCAGTGTGATTCCCATCCCCTTTCCCAATGCCAGCGGGCGGTCCCAGGGCGCTGCTCAGGGAAGAGGCCGTGGGCAGTGCTGGTCTGACCAGTGTGACGGGCCCTGCCGCCGGTCGGGAGAGCAGAACCGGCCCGGCCGCGGTGCCGCCCTCCGGCAGCGCGTCCCGGCACGTCCGGCGAGGGCAGCGGGGCCAGGGAGGATCCCCAACAACTGCAGAACCAAAGCCAGCCCAGGTCCGTGGATCCTGGGAGCAGCAGGGCCCTCCCAGCTCTGTGTGGCCCTGCCCCCTGTCCCCATCCCACTCCGGGATCAGGGTCACACTCGTGTCCCCGTCTCGCTGCCTCCTGGAGCAGGACACGTGTGTGGGGCTCTCTGTGGGGAGCAACGGCCCCTTCCCTGCCCCAGGAATGGTGTCCCAGAAGATGTTTCTAATGCCCAGTTTTAGCTCCACCTGTCCTGACCAGCCTGGAGCTGGACATCGGTGCCAGGACAATTCCTGCTCCAAGGAACACGCTGCTGCCTCAGGAAGGAGCAACAAGTCCTGCCAAGGGCCCATCATGGAACTGTGCAGAGCTGCCTCCTCCCAACAGTCCTTCATCCCTGCTCCTCCACCAGCTCCAGTGGCACCGTTTGAGGACATTCCCGATAAACACCACCATTCCCACTCATCACCCACAGCCCCACCTCTCCTTGGCCCCTTCTCCAACAAAGTCAAGCCGCAGGATTCCCAAAGGACACGGAATTTGTAAGGGATGCTCAAACCACCTGAGCGGCAGAGCCTGCCAAGAGCTGAGCCCCTGGATCAGCCCCGTCTCCAGGGGTTTTCCAGGGGACCAGCCAACCTCCACAGAACCAGACAAAATCCAAGGAGCTGTCTCAGGACTCCCGAGAAACCGTCAGAGACTTGACGGCAGTGGAATTTAGGGAGGAGGAGGAGGGTGTGAGTTGTCAGTGGAGAGAGACAGAAAAGCCATCCGGGGAGGGGGCCCCAGCCAGGAATTCCAGCTATGAGGAACCAGGAGCTCCCTGGGAATCCCTGGCACAGCTGTCACGCCAACAGCTGTCACTCGGCTCTGCCACCAACCATGGGGAGCCCCAAATCCAACGGGGCAGATCCCCAAATCCAACAGGGAGAGATCCCCAAATCCAATCGAGAAGACCCCACCGCTCCACTCCGGTCACGCTCCCTGTGGGATATCCCACGTGTTCTGGGGTGGGAAACAAAACGGAACCGGCACGGATTTGTTTTGGCCGCAGCAAAGGGACACAGAGGAAGAGGAGGGGCCGTGGAACAGAGACCCCAAACCCCCCCGGCA